ACAAAGATAAGAAACATAACTAGTTACAATAAACACATTTGTGTGATATTTTTCAAATAAAAACATACAGAAGCTTAAATCTGAAAAATATAAGACTTTTCCATCACGGTTAGCAACCGAAATGTCATTGATTCAAATATTGCATATATTGAATTGCACTCTTGAATGTGTAGAAGCGATGTAGAATTCTTAACATAGACTTAATTGTTATAGCTATCATAAAGTAACGATATTTTTAAACACAGAACTTTTGAGTGAATATGGGGCACATGTGTCTTTAAGAGAGGGGTAAATATGGAAAGGTTGAGTGATGTTGGCTTGCCAAACGTGGATGGAAAAGACACTACTAATGTAAACGGGTCAAATAGTGCCCCGACCCACTAAACGCTCAACCATTGCCGTCTCTCCAAACTTCTCATCAGACTCAACAATCGGCTAACCTCCTCTACCTCTATTGTTAAGCAATTTTTGGAGGGGTAAATATGGAAAGATTGAGTGTTGTTGGTTTGCCTAACACAAATGGAAAATGTGCTACTAATGTAAACAGGCCCAAATAGTTTCCGTCCCACTAAACACTCAACCACCAGGTTACTTTCGCTACACCTAATATAAGAGTGAAATGGAAAATGTGTTTCCCCCATTACAAAATCCCTGCATCCATAGCAAAAGTAGGAAGGGTAGATTCGTCTTCACAGTCATTTATTATTTTCTTATTCACAGGAAAAATACATAAGTGATCGTATTTGAATTTTGTTTCTTTGAGAAGAGACAAAACATAACCAGTTACACTAAATAAATTTTTTTAAACTTTTTCAATTAAAAACATAAAGGAAGCTTAAATCTGAAAAATTATTGGAATTTTACATCACATTTAGCTAAGCCACTAACTCTCCCCTAAATATTTTTTTGGCATTTGATACTTCTATTTTCATACTTCGATTATTTTAATTCGAGTTTAACAATTAATTCTATTTCTCTTTATCTTATAAAATGAGAATAATTTTAAAATCGCAAGCCTAATGTCATTGGTGCAAATATTGCACATCAGACTTAAATAATATAACTACCAAAAAGCAACAATATTTTTGAATATAGAAGTTTTGAGTGAATATGTGGCACATGTGTCTTTAAGAGAGAGGTAAATATGGCAATGTTAAGTGATGGTTTGTCGAATGCGGATTGAAAAGCCGCAACTAATGTAAATAGCTCTAAATGGTGTTCCAACCTACGTACTGAACGATCAACCATCGTAGTCTCTCCAAACCTTCCCATCGGACTCGACAACCGCCAAACCTCCTCCACCTATATTGTTAAGCAAAGCAATTTTTGGAGGGGTATATATGGAAAGATTGAGTGTTCTTGCTTGGAGAGCTAACTGGTGGGTTATTTAGTTTCTTTGACAGTAATGTGTGATCTCTTAACATCAGTTCATTTGGTTGATCTTCTAGGTTGACTTTTGAGTTTATTAAAGATAAACAGTGTCCCGGGCTCCCGTCCTACTAAAGGCTCAACCATCACCGTCTCTCCAAACCTTCCCATCGGACTCGACAACCGCATATCCTCCTCCACCAATATTGTTTCACAAAGCAATATTCGGAGGGATATATATGTAAAGGTTGAGTGTTCTTGCTTGGAGAGCTGACTGATGGGTTATTTAGTTTCTTGATAGTAATGTATGATCTCTTAACAGCTATTCATTTGTTTGATCTTCTAGGTTGACTTTTTAGTTGATTAAAGATAAATAACTATACTTTTTGTTGCTTTTGTTTTGATACTCGTTTTCAGTATCATCATTTTTCTAATTTGAAATGTTTTGGTGGTTAGTTTCCAGTAAACAAAGACTATTCTGATCAGTGTTAACATAGGGAATAGCTTCAATCATACCACTTTTAGACAAAATTTATATGTAAGAGCTGAGATCATTGCCGAATTGAACCATTCAAGCTATAATGGTGACCTTCAACATATAAAACATAGTTATTTTGAGTGAAACAACCTCATGATTGCAGATAAGTTTTTACAATATGATGTTTTGTGATAGTGTTTACTTGCTTCTGGATTTAAAAGTGGGGTTTTAATTACTACAACCTACACATAATGTAATAGCATGAAGGAAAAAATCCTTCCCCCATTTCAAATTTCCTGCTCCATGAGCGTTTGTAGGAAGAGTATATTAGGGAGTGTCAATTTTTTTCTCTTTCCTCTGTGGAACGAGCCAACTTACCGTACACGTGCGGACTTGAACGGGCCCAGGGATTGTTGCGGCCCACAAAAATAGAACAGGTTCCAGCCACGGCTGCATCTGTTTCATGTCTCCATAGCGATCACCGTAACCGAGTCTTGGATTGTTCCAATGCTGGATCTGGACTCCACCAATGACGAGAATAAATTAGATAATTAGAGAAAGAGAGCTTCATAATTGTTTACAAATTAATTTCCCCAATCCTTCTTCTGTGTGCTAATCGCCTAATCCCTTTCCTATGAAAAGAAATCCAAGCATACTAAAAAGATCCAGTCATGCTCATGAAGAAGGGTGATAAATTGCATGCAAGTAAAAATTAAAGATTGAGTCATTTAATCAAATCATAATCAACCACCCCTTTTTCCATCATTTGTAAGCTCTAACAGATAAGTGACAAAGAAATCCACAATATCGCTTCACTGTAACAATACAGTATTATTGAAGATCGGTGGCTTTCTCTTCTTCTTCGTTAAACTAGCGTCAAAGATATACAAAGAGGGGAGTTTAAACAAGTGATAAGAGAATGGAAGATTATGAAATGAAAAACAGAGACCGAGAGGGGTGGAAATTGACGTTCGGGGGGAGGATTACATGCAGGAAAAAGGTTTGCAAAGCTAAAATTAAGGACAAGAAAACAGGGATGGGGAGAAGTGGCTACCGACGACGATATAATTGAGATCGAGAGAGAGAAGTGAACCATGAGCCGGTGAGCACTGAGTAGCTTTTTCTAGGGAATATAGGGTTTTCTTTAAGCCCTTTGATTTCTCGATGTTGGTAAGATATATATGAAAGGGCAAAACAATACTCATTTTTTATTGCTAAAAAGAAAAAAAATTTAACAATAAACTAATGCATGGATTCTAATGGGCTAACCGCTAAACATAGAATAAAAGAGTTGAATGTGCCTGACTCATACGGGATTTGACCATCAAGTTTCAAGTAAAACAAATGAACATCATGGGTTTGCCAGCCTAAAACATGCTATTTTCTCTAGCATAACATATATTATTCTATTATTTAATATCTTAATGGCTAAAATATAATATATTTTAAAGTTATTAAATGGTTCGGCCTCGACTAACCTGATTAGTCTAATTTTTTAAATTTCAAATATATATTATGTAATTATTTGATTTCCTAATGATTAAATTATTGTGTATTTTATAGGGGATTTTTTATTCGGTTTTCTGGAATTCTATTTTTATAAAATTTACTCCACCTCATCATATTACCAGAAATAATACTGTTTCACAAGGTAACATGTACTCGAACTTGGTTCATAAGGCTGATTTTTTGATTCGTTGCGTCATCCATGCCTCTTTCCTGCTAAAATTCACTATCTTTATCATGTGTTTAAAAAAAAAACTACACAACAATAAGCTATACACTCCATTACATTTCCAAATTTCATATCTCGCCTTCCTTCGGCCAACTGGCCCACGCTAGTTTATAATATATAGATAATAGTGTCGTGTGTAGAGTCAATGTACAACTATGGTTATGAAGGACCCTCGTAATCACAAGGTCGCTTGTTCGACATTCCATTGCATCTCACTTTCTTATTTTTCCCCATCTGCCCACTTTCATGTTTCATCTACGCCTATGGAACAACGTCATTCCTGGGGCCGCTCTCGATTCAGCAGCGAGCACAAACGACGACGTTTGTCATGTCTCTTCGTCTTCCCTGTGGAGTTTCTGCGATTCTTGACTCTCTAACCATACTAGTCGTCAGCGTCGTCACCGTAATCTGACGTCTGTCTCTCTTCTCAGACAACCCCCTATCACCATCCCAATGTTGTCTCTCTTATCCGGTAACCCCACGTCACTATCCCAGAACCGACCTCACCAGTGTCTCTCCGCTCCGGCAACCCTACGTTCCTAGGCCACCCAGACTGAATTCCAACCTAGACACCTATCTGCCAGAGCCCGACTCCCGCAAACGCATCAATAAATTCACCGATCTCCTCCGCGTTATCCAAACGTTAAAATTCCAAAATCAAAGTCGGAGCATTCAATCAGTGTGGTTTTGATGGTTGTTGGGTTTTTATGATGATGGTCAAATAGGGTTAGTTATAGGGTAGATTGGATGTAAAAATGATGACGACGACCTTTAGGATAGTCGAATTGAGGTGTGGGATGTTTGATTATATGTTTATTAATTTGAATTAAATTAAATTGAAACTTTGGATTACAACTTACATAATTTTTTGGGTGATCAATTACAAATATTTATGAAATAAGGTATGATACGAGAAAGCATAACGATAATCATTAGTAGAGGACTTCATAACAAATATAATTAATTAATGGGTGCAAGTAGTAATTATATTTATTTATTTCATCATAATTTATAAGGGTTAAAGACACATTTGATCACTGAGATTACTAAATCGGGACATGTTCAGTCACTAGAAAAAATTAATATAAATTTTAGTCACTCGAATTACAGAAACAGGTCACATTTAGTCACTCTCCGTTAGTCTCCGTCCAACTCCGTTAATGAAGTTCGTTAAGTGCTGATGTGGCAAACATAATTGCCTAATCAGCGTCGTTTTGGCCCGAAAATGGTCAAATCCGACACGCCACATCACTGAACCCGCCATGTCATACCCCCAACCCATTAAACCTACCCACTAACACAATCCTAGCCCACTTTAACAAAAGAAAATTGGAAAACCCTAGCTCCAACTCGTTCTCCTCTTCTTCACCGCCGCTTCCCCAATGAAACAAAATCTTTTCATCATCAACCTCTCCTCTCTACTTAATCAAGATGAGCATATCAAACCCCCCTGAATCTTCACATCCTTGAGGCGCCCAAATCGGTGTCCGACGACTGAACTCTCTCAAAAACCCAATCACCTCCTGTCCCTGGCTTGCTCTTGGTCATGCTCAATGTAATCTTCCCCTTCGACGTCGCCGCGTTCTTGACATTCTCCTTCGCCAGCTCTTACTCATCCCCTCTCCCTCCAAGGGCAGCGCCACCATGTTGTCATAACCCTGGGACCCGCCTCTGCCCTTTCGGTCCAAGAACGACGACCCTCTGTACCTGGGAACCAAAAACTCGCCGCTGAAGCTCTCTGGTTTTCCAGAAGCAACGAGCTGCTTCACCGTGAAGAGGAAAGGGACCCTCTCGCCTCCAGGGAGCTGGACGGTGACGGCGGCGTAGTCGATGCCATCTTTCTCCTCGAATTTCACGATGCCGTCGGGGGAGACCTCGAAGGGGCCTTCTAATCGTGATGATCTTGCAACTGCTGTTGATGTTGTTTCATTGGGGAAGACGGCGGTGAAGAGGAGGAGAACGAGTTGGAGCTTTTCCAATTTTTGTTTTGTTAAGTGGGCTAGAGTTGGGTTGGTGGGTAGGGTTAATGGGTTGGGTATATGACATGGCTGATTTAGTGACGTTGTAGGTCGGGTTTGACCATTTCCGGCTCAAAACGGCGCTGGCTAGACGCTCTCGTTAGCCACGTCAGCACATAACAGACTTTATTAATGGAGTTGGACGAAGACTAACGCAGAGTGACTAAATGTGACCTGTTTCAGTAATTCGATTGACTAAAATTGATATTAATTTTTTCTAGTGACTAAACATGTCCTGATTTAGTAAATTCAGTGGTCAAATGTGTCTTTAACCCTAATTTATAATGACCTTTAAATTAGAACAACGGTGGAAAAGCTTTGAGCATGGTATGCGTCTAGAGCATACCAGTAGTGTGTGTGTATATATATACATGGTGCCTTCTACGGTACCCCAAATGAAATACGGGATACCGCATACCTTAAGTAAGAAAACGTATCTAGACCTCGAATTAGCAGGATTTTTGGGCATGATACTATACCCTAACCCTTAATGAGTGAACCCGAGGTCCTAATTATCTAAATCATAAACTATAAACCCTAAGATGGTGCATTGATTTTTTAGCCTATATTTGGACGAATCATAACCGTCGACTATTGTTTCTAATTAAATTGATCTTGGGATATAAGATTGAGAGAATTAAGACCTAGATTTTGATCTTTATGGGTTAGAGTATAGTATCATGTCCGACAAATCAGTCAATTCAAGTCCTGGATAGCGTTTTCTTACTTAAGGTATGCGGTACCCAAGATTTCACCCTGGGTACCGTAGAACTCCCCACATATGTGTGTGTGTGTGTGTGTGTGGCAAGCAACGTCTAGCGTATGCTATATGCCTGTGTTCACACTTGGTTTTTGCAATTCAATATTTTTCGTTGAATCGGAACCTTCGGTTATTTAATCTTGTGGTTTGGCTTAGAGAATTAGGGACTGGAGTTCACCCATCAGAGGTTAAGGTATAGTATCATGCCCCAAACTCCGGTTCATTCGTGCTCTAAATAGTAAAACTCGACGGGCCTACAATGTACGCTTGACGTACGCTAGCCTGAACTATATGTATGTATATATATATAGTGACTTCTATCGTACACAAGACATATATTGGGGCATGTCGTATACCAGCAATCTTCACCGTCCACGTCCATCTCAACGACCAGCATTAATGAGGGTTCTTTTTTTTATGGGATTAAAAAAATAATTTACCTAATTTATATTGACTGTTGAGATGGACGCGAATGGTGGAGATTGCCTTGTGTACAACATACACCAGGTTTTGCCTACTGTACGATAGAATTTTATATATATATATATATACACACACGTTAGACATATATTATACGTCAGGTACTACTAGTGAGATATCTCTATCTAGACCATGAATTAAATCGAGTTTGGGATATGATATTATACCCTAACCTCAAATGGATAAACCCCAAGCCCGATTTTCTAATCCCAAACCCAAAGTTCAATTTAAGAGAAAAGAAGAGTTGACCGTTGAGATTGGTCGGAGCTAATCCATGTAAATCTAACGGTCAGATCATCTGGAGCATACCATTCGTCTCCATATATATATTTCAGTAGTGATCAAATATATATATATTTTTCAAATATATTAAAGTAAATTCCTGTTTTTTTCTTTTCATCAATTTCTCTTGAATAAGCATAAAATCGAACAGAAAAGTTTATATACTCAATGTTCGTAATACAACGAAGAGAGGAATCCATAACACATGATTCCAAGGGGCAAATACAACCTTCTCCGGTCGGCATTTGATTTATCGGATGCTTGTGCCTTATTATCCTAAAGAATCGAAGGATGAACATTTTTCTTGTGATCGATATAGTGTGTTTATTTTAATGTCACCATTATGAGAACAATTCAATTAAGTTAGATGATTGATGCGCCTGTTTTTGTTAAGATAGACTGGTCAAATAGTTGGGATTAATTTTATGTGGACGGCACAAAGCCGGCCACGTCGCAATCCAGAAAAATATTGCTGGAACTAATGTTGTAGAACTTCGTAATTAAATTTTAATCTATCTACACTACTTATAATACGTTTTAAAGAGGTTGATTTGCTCCATTTCAAATTTCCTGCAACGAGAGTGAAAGTAGGAAGGGTATTTTCGTCTACACAATCAATTTTTTATTTCATATAAAAAGATATCAATGCTAGGATTTGAACCGTGGTCTCTTCCATAAAAAACAAGAATTGTAACTAATTAGACTAGACACATTTGTGGTACTTTATTAATACAAAACATAAAGGAAGTTAAAAATTATGTAAAACAGAGTACTTTTCTATCACGGTTAGTTAGCCCGCTAAGTCTCCTGTAAGTATTTTGTGGTGTTTGATACTTCTATTTTAATATTTTAATAATTAATTTAAATTTTTTCCTAATTTATAAATGAAGGATAATTTTAAAATCTCAACACAAATATCATTGGTTGGAATATTGCGCATTGAATTGAAGTGTTGATGAAGTGTTCAATGACGACATAAGAACAGTGGTACCATATATTTCAAGAAAAATAAACATGTCAAACACCGATACCAATTATCTCGACAGTCTATGCTAAAATTCAAAATTGTTTAATCATTCAATTTGAGTGATAGTTTAGTTAAATCAAGCAAATAATTCACGATTGTGTATGAAAAAAATAAGAACATATGTATTATATTATGAAATATGTATTTATTTTAATAATCTCACAAAAATAATCAAGACTTCCATACGACCCCTTATTTCAATAATGTAATTAATGAAATAAATTTTATCAGCATGATGCAAATGTTCAAGCTAAGTTCCAAGTATTAATCACCAGTATATAGTATTCATCATAGTTAACTATTTTAACATCCACAACTAACTATTAATGATTACTTGCTTTCTCTTTGAGAGTTTAATGTAGCACTCTCATGCTTAGCTATGCTCTAAGCATTTGTTTACTTTTACACATTATCATTTGCAGTTATTTATTAAATCAACTTTGTTTCTAACTTTCAATTCCTAATTATTAACTACTTCCTACCAATTTATGGGAATGCTAAATATATTTTTCATGTCTAATCTATTGACCATAAATGTTGCTTATCACTTAAATCCAACGGTATCCATGTTAGGTTTGATGTCACCAACATATTCTCCCAATTTCTCTAAAAAGCATCATATCTTGTGATTGATATCATAGTTTTGTTAGGTAAAGTTCAACAAACTCAATTAACATTCGAACTCTTTGAAGTAGCTATCTACATGCGAATATGAAGTACCGAGTAACTAAAACTCTACTTGCATTAGTACAATCTTTTGCGCTTTCGATTCAAAATACATGATTATCTTATTACGATCTAGTCATACTATTTGTGCAGTTGGGGGACATCTTATCAAATTCGTATAGAAAGACTCTTTGATTGATCGCTTTCATGATGTAATCAATTTTACCAAAATAGAAGTGATCAAATTTATAAGATGCTCTCAAAGTTTGCTATAATTATTGAGGTTCAGTAGCACTTAGGCGTAACGCGGTCATTGGGCATTTGTCTATCTCCTAGCTCGCCTAGACATGCTTAAACAATATAATAAAAATAAAATTTTTTAATAATAATGAATAAAATAACAGTTCTAAAGCACTTTCATACTTTAGTTCAAATGATTTAACAACTAAATAACTCTCAAGTTTATAAATTATTTTCTTTTACTAAATGATATAATTTGAAATAGCTAATTATCAGCACTTCAATTTAAGTTAAAACTCTATATGATACAATTGTTTGACGAAATGGGTTTATAATAGAGTGGTTCTATTGAGAGAGGTCTCTAAGAAACATGACTTACTTTATTATTCCTTAGGTGGATATAATATCTATTTTCATCATTACTTTTACATTGGGTTTAATTTAGTATTCTTTTTGTTATGCAAGATATGATTTTATCTTTGATAATATAGATTTATTTTTTCAAGCATGTGGATGCTTGAGACTTCTTATTTGCCTCATAACTTACATTTTACAATGGCACCAAACATGGATGGGTTTCTATTCAACACATAAATTTTTAATGATGTAAAAATTATAAAACTAAGATGCATATTAATAAACAATGTAAGGTCTCATCTTCCCTCTTAAGCACTACATATCATTGTTTACTTACCATTAAATCAAAGTCTTTCTAACTTCAGTAAGAGCTACAATGACTTTTATTATTGTGGATTTCCCCCAAAATGTTAGGTATGCTACTTTTAGTTTTTGCTTTCTTTTCGGTTTGATTTAGCTTTCTGTATGAAATGTCACTCGAACCATGACTGTGTGAGTTAGTTTGTTTCTTTTTAAGGACACTCTAAACATACACTTTGTTTCATTATATCATTGAATACACTCAAGTAAATGGAAAAGAAAAATTTGTTTATCGTATACTGAAGATTGATTATGCATGTATGATGTAAAACAACTCTTATCATTGTTCTTCTTAGACATTTTTATATAGATATAACTTTGTTTGAAAATATGTATTTATGTTAGTGTAGTTGGACGTTGTTTGTCATACATTAAATACTTTCCTATATTATTCATGGAGAACTTACCAAATTAAATAGTTACTTCAATTCTCAACAACATGAACCATAAAAAAAATATACCTCAATATTTACTACACGTATACATGAAAATCAAACTCTCCCGGCCATGAGGCCGGGCCCTAATCTAGTTTCTTATAATGGTTGAGTTTTAGTGGTTAATTTTAATATTTTTTATCAGATATTGTTTTTCCTCTTGCTACTAAATTCGAAAAATATATTAATTATGATAGTACAACAATATCAGTCTCCATATATTTTGAATTTTACTAACGGGGCTCTTAAGTATAGTATTTTACTCTTTTATATTGCCATATGTTCTCACAATTGTGTCCAACATTCAAAAACATAAATTGGATTAGGAATGACAATTTTGACCTGACATGTTTTACCCGATCTGATTGACATGTTGGTGATGTGGGACCGACATGGGTACTCTCCCTCAACTTGACCTGTCATGACATGCTCCATTCTCGACCTGTATTTGTCTAAATTACGTGTAATTCTATTCGAATCGCTTATAATTTTACTTTTGTTGCCGCATATTTATCTAAAATAAAGTTGTAAATATGCGAGAACCTCAATTTTTAAAATATTTTAACTACATTTATTATATTTTACATTGTTTCTTGGGGTTTTCATGAAAAAAAAAAATATTTATTCATGTTTTTCTTCTAAACTAAATACCCATTGGGTGTAGTCTATCTGCCCGACCCGACCTGCCATGGGTAGGGCATGGGTATCTAGATATCCTCGTCAGACCTGCTCCATTTTCATTCCTAATCGGGAGTGCGGATGCCCTAATTGGGTTTGTTTTCGTCCCAGCTCAACGTTTTGCCGTCAAAATTTGATTTTTTTTTATCAGAAAACCCAATTATGGTTATGCACTAAGGGTGGACAACAAGCGGATTAATTATGTGGTTTTTCGTCTCAAATTAACCTATACCAACAACAGATATGGTGGATCTGTGCAAATTTTAAGCCCCGTGAATTGGCTTTCGTTTGAGGGCGAGTGTAAGAGAGTGATATAAGATACATAATTAACTTCTGGTTATTGTGAACAATTGGTTTATGTCATGTTATCAAAGCTAGATTGTTTTTTAAGGTCACGTGTTCAACTCCTCACGACCAATCTCACAATTAATGGTTACCTTAAAGTATATAATAACGAAATTGTTAAGATTCATACATAAATTTATTCTAACAACTCAAGTTATTGCGATCAATTGGCTTTTGACATGATATCAGAGCCCATAATAAACGTGAGATCTTCTCTTCAAATACCGACGAGTTTCTATTAATCACATGATATCCAAAACTATGCATACTTCAAGCTCGGCTAAATTGCAAGTTTGGTCACTCGAATTGCTACAAAATTTTACTTTTGGTCACTCAAATTCGTTTATTCCATTCGTAGTCACTTAAATTAGTTGAACAGTCCAAGTTCGGTCACTCTTCGTTAACCTCCGTCAGACTCCGTTAGTGCCGTCTATTAACTGCTGACGTGGCTAACAGAGATATCTAGTCACCCAATTTTAACCCAAGAAAAACCAGAAATTGACCCGCCACGTCAGAAAAACATGACACCTTGACTCGACTCTACTGTCACTCTAGGAATTGGCCAAGTGAAACCACTCCCTAAAGCGTAGTATAGCGGGTTAGGTTTATATGTCAACCCGGGTCCTAGATTTGATGACTACTCGGTGAATTCTTGTTATCTAGCAATGAAACTGGAATGCAAGTCTAACTAACAAACTAACAAAGCAGGTAAACGGTTGTATTCAGGTTAAGAGAGGTCACCCGGATATGGTTCCCCCTAGACTGCAGTTAAGCCGGATTGTAATTACCAAGTTCAGTTTCTATGAAAGTTATACTGCGGAAGGTTCTTAAACAGCCTGAAGTCTCGACTAAAGGTCTTCACACCCTCTCAATCTGAATCTCTAACGGGCGACTAACCTCCACCGGAGTAGACAGATTGAGGCCCTAAGAACAAAACCTCCACTACCGGAGTAAATCCGGTACAGAATAGTGAGTTGGTTCCTCGACTAAAGTCACCAACTCCCTACCTTCAATCAAGGGTACTCTATTAACCTAGTCAGATATTCTCATTCTAGGTTAAAGCAGAAACAACAGGAATTTGATCAGGATTCAAGTCATTCAATCATTAAAACCTCAATCGAATATAATCAATCATAGAATCAGTACTTGGGTTCATACAATCAAAGCCGACATACAAATCTAGGGTTCTCCATACCCAGATGAATGGGAGAACTACTCCATGGAGAAGAAAGCAAAAGCAGAATCAGACACGGAATTCATACTGTGAAGGATGGATTCCTGCTCCTGGACGTTGATCGGCACTTCTCCAAGCTCAAACAAGCCTCCAATGGTGTTGAAGATAAAGCTAGGGCGCTTGCAGACTCTTGTTCGTCGCTTTCTCTCTCTAGGAACTGATCTCTCTCTCTAAAATTCGAATCCCTTGATTTTCAGCCCTCTTTTCCCTTAAAACAGCTGCCTGTCGCGTTACCCGGTCGGGTATTTTGGGTCTCGACCGGATATTATCAAAACGCACGTTTCATGCCAGGAGAAATCCACGGTCTACTCCAATAATCCCCGGTCGAGGATTTAAGCTTCACGACCGGGACCCCTTCTATTTCTCAGACGCCAAAAAGGGAAATCCCCGGCCTCTTCAGAAAAATACCCGGCCGGGTATTTGTGGTCATGGCCGGGTATTTTCTTCCTCCAGCCCACTTCAATCCTCGTTTGCTCCTTTCGACCCGAATCTCGTTCCTTCGCCTCGATTCCAACGCCGGGTCCTGAAATATGACATAAACACACAACCTCGCGTGAAATCGGCTTAAAACCCGAGATTTAACCTTTCAAACGACTCAAGATTAGGGGTGAAAATACGTGTAATTATCGGTCTATCAAACTCCCCCACACTTAACCGTTTGCTTGTCCCCAAGCTAACCTAACTTAAACCAATGCAACTCTCCAGACCTCTATAGCAACAAACAACCCAGATCGTAGGTAGAGGACTTCCTAGATCATTTAGCAGCTTACGAGGTCAACCGACGCACAAGTCATCTCCTAACTTCTTCGGCGAGAGCACTAGTATCGAGTCGGCATCATGGCAAACAGTGAACAGAGGACAAACGAATTGTGGATGAAGAGATTCTCAAAAACAAAAGATCATGGGCTCACATTTTTCAAGGTGCTCTATTTTCTTCTTGGAGATGGTTGGAACCCCTGTTCTTTCTGTTTTGCTTGTTTTCTGTTATTTTTCCTTTTTTTTTTCAAGGGTCCCAACCTGCTCTTACCGGCCATGCCAGGAGCGGATGTCTCGAGCCTCGTGCGGGGGAAAGACATGTAAGGGGGCTGGAAATAGTAGGTGGAAATTGGGAACGAATTCCCGTCTCCCCTTACACACTTTCTCCCTATTCGCACGGGAGACGTTATTTCAAAGCACATTTCTGAGCACCTGTTATTGTCAAAACATAATACAAGAGTCCACGACCGGTAGAGAATCCACAACACCACACAATTCAAGGGTCCTAAGATCACTAATTCACTCAATCAACCAAAACAATATGAAGAAGAAATGAGACTTCTTAAATACATCAACATCCTCCATAGTGCTACACTACCTCCCTAGGTTGCATATTACTATAAAGACTGTCAATTCAAAGCATACTGAGCAGGCAATTGCAAGGAAACACGTACTTGGAGCCCTCAAATTTAAAAATTTGGACAGTGGACTAGGCTCCAAGCACACAAACAGATCTAATGCAGTCAAAAGCTAAACACCCCCCCCCCCCCACACTTAAGATCGACATTGCCCTCAATGGAGAAGAGGGAAGGAAAAGGGGAACGATGTTACCGGTATACACGGACTGCAGGGGACTGGAAACGGACCAGTCGGAGTGAAGCGGACTGGATAGAGGACCAGTCAAGACAAGCACAGCTAAAAGGAAACCAAAGAGCTCAACACAATACGTCAGGTTTAATGGTCAGCCCAATAGTACAGAATCCAACATAAAAAGAAAGAAACCAAACTAACACAAGACAGTTTGCACACTGATAAAAACAAACACACTCAAAACATGGCACTAGGAACCGCCTCCTAGACCGGTGAAGTCGATCTGGTTCATGAGGTCGTCGTCTCCATCATCCGGCGGTGGTGGTGGTGAATGATCCCACCGGGTGGTCCAGTGGTGCTCCTCCGGGGGGTGGCAAGCCTGGAGCATGTGCTCAGAGTACTCCATCAGTCGGCGGCCGCGATCTCTCTCCCGCTCGATGAGAGCACCCGTGACTCCCATATGGGTCTCCAAGCGGCCGAGGCGATCGTCAACAACCTGCAGCCTGGACTGGTACTCGGCCAGGTGGGCCGAATACTGCTGGTGGAACTGGACCTGATGGTCCATGAGCTGCTGGTTCTGAAGACCGAGCTGCTGGAACTGGAGCCCCATCTGCTGGAACTGCTCTGTGAAGAAATCCATCGACGGACCAGAAGGATCGGAGGAGGACTCACCTCGCTCCTGTCTCCGTCGTGGCCGAAGGTCCCCTGGTGGAGAGAGTGAGGGCTCCGGCTCATCGGCATCCATGGCCCCGCCATCATCATCATCATCCTCCTCATCATCCTCCGTGACAGAATAGTCAGCGTCCTCCTCATCGTCATCGAGATCCTCATCCTCATCAGGAGGCATAGAAAGCCCATCCACCCAGGTGCGGGGGCCATCACTGGTCAGGAGGAGTGCATTATGGAGCACTTCCCGGCTGAGGGGGGTGGAGCCGCCCCGTGCAGAAGCATCATGGAGGCCCTGGAAGCTGATGTCGAAATGCTGCGCCAAACGGGTGATCAGCGGACCACAGTAGAGGTGAGTAGGTCTCCCGTGGCACCGGGAGAAGGTGGTGGCCACGAAACAACCCAAGTGGAGCATGTGCTCCGGGTACCCCATCGAGTACATGGCATACAGCACTCGCTTCGGAATCTTATGCGAGCCGGTGACGTTGGGGACGATGGAGCGAGTGAGGAGCAGGTTCAGGATATGCCACTGCGGCTGGAGGGTGCAGACGTATGTCTGGCCAGGATCGAAGTCGTCATGCCCATATGCACGCCTGGCTATCCGGCGGTAGAACGAGTCCTGGCGCCAGTCGGTCGGGTGCGGGATCTCGACCTCGTGGCGATCGAACGGGTGGTACTCGATCCCCAAGGCATAGGCCAACCCGTCGATGGTCAGCTCTCGGGCGTGGCCGCCCAGCCGGAATGTCACAGCATACGAATCCCGGGGTGCCTTGCTGTCGTACTGGAAAGTGGTGTAAAATTCCCACACCAGCTCCGTGTAGGTGGGCTCACCGATAGTCAGCAGCGTGCGCCAATCGGGGTGGCTGATGGCGGCACTGAGCTCCTGCATGCAGTGGAGCTGCTCGAACACTTCCCACTCCAGATGGTGGTGGCGCGCCAATTTCCCCTGAGTCACCGCGCGGAACTGGTCCGCGTACTCCGGGTGCAGGCGCAAGTCCTGCACAAATGGATGGTCGAGAGACATGTTCATGCAAAAGCAACAAACCAGAGGTGGAGCCAAGAAAAACTCGTCAGGACCAACAACATGGGTTCATCACTTCCCCCACACCTAAGGACCACCTAGGCTAACAGTTCTAAGCACAGCCGGTTGAATCGCAAACAATGCGGCCGAAAACAAGGCAGGAAACACATAACCAACCACAATCAGGACACGCGCAGCACATACCCAGTATATAGAACCATGCATACTCCAAGCATCCCTCACCCTATTCTAAATCATGCAAACAATTATAGTTCTCGGTCCTACAATCTACAGTTCGATTCTCCAGGGAAGAACAGTTAACAAGAAACACACCTGGAAACGCAAGGAGAACTGTAGCCAAGGCACAAAGAGGGGAGAGGGACGCGAGACAGAAGCCAAAAATGACCCGGGAGGCTCGCCGGAAAATGGTCGGAAAACCGCCGGAAAGTTGACCGGCGGCGGCGGCCGGCGGCAGAGGGGCGGCAGCCGGCGGCGCGCAGAAGAGAGAGGGGAGAGGATTTGAGAGGAAGAGAGAGGGGAAAATTTGAAAAAATGAGGGTAGAGAGAGAAAATGGCCGGGGGTTTGCTATATATAGCAAAAATACCCGGTCGGGCCTCCAAAATACCCGGTCGGGTATATTCGATTCCACGACCGGGGGTTCAAAATGCAGCGTGTCTAGGTGCAAGGGAATCCCCGGCCTTGAGCCAAAAATACCCGGTCGGGTATTTTTGGGTCAAGGTCGGGGGTTCTGAAACGCAGCGTCTTGACTTTGGGAAAAAATCCCCGGCCGTGAATCAAAAATACCCGGTCGGGTATTTTTGAGACCAGGTCGGGTTTTTCCCTTTTGCACCCCCGAGAAACAGAAGGGGGCCCGACCGTGAGCCAATAATACCCGGCCAGGTATTTTGGCCCATGGCCGGGTATTTGCCCCCTTCCGGCCAAAAAACTCATTCGCCCAAATTTTCGACCTCTCCTGCACGACAGCACCAAATCGAGGCATAACAGATGACCGAACTTCACCACAGACATGCAACTGACTCCAGACGACACAAAAACTCAGAAAAAAGGGAAAAAGAAATGCAAACCGTGGTGGGGTTGCTTCCCCACAAGCGCTTCTTTACCGTCTTTTAGCTGGACGCCAATGACGGAACTAAGGGTCCGCCAGCTCCACTGCCAACTCCGCACGTTCGACCTCGCCTCCCAGGTAGAGCTTGAGACGATGGCCATTTACTTTAAACGGCTCAGTTTGCGGGTTAGCAATCTAAATCGTGCCATACGGGAACACCTGTGTGACCGTGTACGGTCCAGACCACCAGGAACGGAGTTTTCCAGGAAAGAGTTTCAGGCGAGAGTTATAAAGGAGAACTCGATCACCAACCTGGAACTCTTTCGGACCCCGCAACCGTGCATCGTGTAGGCGCTTCGTGCGCTCCTTGTACAGCTTGGTGTTCTCATAGGCGTGATAACGCCACTCTTCCAGCTCCAACATCTGCATTTTTCGCTCAACACCTGCAACACTAACATCCAAGTTTAGCAGCTTAAGGGCCCAGAAGGCCTTGTGCTCTAGCTCCACGGGCAAATGGCATGCCTTTCCATAGACAAGCCGGTACGGTGAGGTACCAATGGACGTCTTGTAGGCAGTGCGATATGCCCACAGAGCATCATCGATCTTGGTGGACCAATCCTTGCGGGACAGGTTCACCGTCTTCTCCAAGATCCGCTTGAGCTCCCGGTTCGTCAGTTCGGTCTGGCCACTGGTTTGAGGATGGTAGGCCACGGACACCTTATGAGTTACACCATAGCGAGACAACAATTTATCGAACTGACCCTGAAAATGGGTGCCTCGGTCGCTTATGATGGCTCTAGGTGTCCCAAACCGGGAGAATAGCTGCTTCAAAAAAACACAAACACGTCTAGCATCATTAGTGGGCAAAGTTTGCGCCTCAGCCCACCTAGAGACGTAGTCAACAGCAACAAGGATATATGTATTACCAAAGGATGGAGGGAAGGGGCCCATGAAGTCGATACCCCAGACATCAAAAATCTCACAAGTAATAAACACATTCTGGGGCATCTCATCACGGGCAGAAATGTTACCTGACCTCTGGCATCGGTCGCACCTGCGTGCGAAGGCGTCTGCGTCCTTGAAGAGCGTGGGCCAGTAGAAGCCCGACTGGAGCACCTTCCTCGCCGTGCGGTTTCCTCCGTGGTGACCGCCAGCAGGTCCTTCATGACAGTGAGATAGAATGCCCTCCATCTCACTCTCCATAACACATCGACGGATGATCCCGTCAGCTCCGATCCTGAAGAGATGAGGGTCATCCCAGAAGTAGTACTTCAGGTCGGAGAAAAACTTCCTCTTGGCGTGAGTTGTCATCCCCTTGGGCAGCTGCTGGCCCACAAGATAATTTGCAAAATCGGAATACTAGGGGGTGACACTCTCCACCAGGCACATCATCATCAGTCTCTCATCGGGAAAGGAGTCATTGATCTCCTCCTCGAGGTTGTCCGCAGGGGGTGCGTCCAACCGGGAGAGGTGATCGGCAGCAACATTCTCCGCGCCCTTCTTGTCCCGAATCTCAATATCAAACTTCTGCAGCAGTAAGATCCATCGTATGAGCCTAGGCTTGGCATCAGTCTTGCTAATTAAGTATCGAATCGCGGAGTGATCAGTATACACAATCACATGGGACAAGACCAGATAAGGACGAAATTTATCGAAGGCAAACACCACTGCGAGCAGCTCTTTCTCCGTGGTGGTGTAGTTCTCCTGGGCATCATTCAAGGTCTTCGAGGCGTAGTAGATAGGTCGGAAATGCTGATCTCGCCTCTGCCCCAACACAGCTCCAACAGCAAAGTCACTAGCATCGCACATAATCTCAAATGGCAGGGACCAGTCAGGAACAACCATGATAGGAGCTTGTGTGAGCTTCTCCTTCAAGGTCGTGAAAGCCGCTGTGCATGCATCAGTGAACTGGAAGGGGGCATCCTTCTCTAGAAGCTTAGTCAGGGGCAGAGCAATCTTAGAGAAATCCTTGATGAACCGCCTGTAGAAACCTGCATGACCAAGAAAACTCCGGATCCCCTTAACAGATGTAGGAGGAGGCAATTTGCTGATAGTCTCGATCTTCGCTCTGTCCACCTCAATCCCCATCTTGGAGATCTTATGCCCAAGAACTATGCCTTCTCGAACCATGAAGTGACACTTCTCCCAACTCAGTGCCAGGTTCGTTTCTTCACACCGTTTAAGGACAAGCTCCAGGTTATGGAGACAGTGAGAGAATGAGTCTCCATAAACCGAGAAATCGTCTATAAACACCTCCATAATCTTTCCGACCAGATGGTCAAAGATAGCGAGCATGCATCGCTGAAAAGTAGCCGGGCCATTGCATAGCCCGAATGGGATCCTCCGGTATGCAAAGGTGCCGAAGGGGCAGGTGAAAGTGGTCTTCGCCTGGTCCTCCGGTGCAATAGGGATCTGGAAGTACCCGGACATCCCATCCAGGAAACAGTAGAACTCGTGCCCCGCCAGTCTCTCCAGCATCTGATCAATGAATGGTAGCGGGAAGTGGTCCTTCCGAGTGGCGTCGTTGAGACGCCGGTAATCAATGCAGACACGGTACCCAGTCACCGTGCGCATCGGGATCAGCTCATTCTTCTCGTTAGGCACCACAGTCATCCCACCCTTTTTGGGTACCACCTGGGTGGGACTGACCCACTTGCTGTCGGAAATGGCGAAGATGATCCCCGCGTCCAGCAGCTTCACGATCTCTGCCCGAACCACAGCCTCCAGGTTCGGTGTCAGTCTCCTCTGCGGCTGTCTCACTAGCCGCATCTCATCCTCCATCAGTATCCGGTGGGGGCAGAAAGAAGGGCTGATCCCCCGGATGTCTGTGATCTTCCATGCGAGGGCTCGCTCGTACCGCTTCAGCAAGGTCACCAGTCTGGTCTTCTGCTCGGGTGTGAGGGTCGAGCTGATGATGACTGGCAGCTTATTCCCCTCCCGGAGAAATGCATACTCCAAATGAGGAGGGAGGGGCTTAAGCTCCAGCTCTGGTGGTTCCTCCAAGGAAGTAGCGATGCGGGTGGAGGATGAGATCGGTTTAAACAGCCTGTCGCCCTCCAAGAAGGGGCCACTCTCCAACTCGGCCAACTGCTCCGCCAGCTGCGGCTCCTGCGATGCCTGCTCACCTAGCAAAATACAACGCTCAAGAACATCGTCAGTACCCGCACTCGTGATAGCGAGTGCGGTCTCATAATCAGCAAGCATATCACAGTAATCTATGTCATCATGCAAATGAGGGTGTTTCCCATTCTCAGACACAGAAAAAGTAGCATGTTCATCACCAGCACGCAGAATCAATTTACCACTATGCACATCAATAAGCGCCTTGGCGGTGGCGAGAAACGGTCTACCTAAAATCAAAGGTACATCCACATCCTCATTTATATACAAAATAACAAAGTCAACAGGATATGTGAATGCACCCACATTAACAAGCAAGTCCTCAATAATACCCCTAGGATGCACGATAGAACGATAAGCTAATTGAATGCTCATCCTAGTAGTTCTAGGTTCACCTAGGCCTAGCTTCTTAAACAATTTATAAGGCATGACATTTAGGCTAGCGCCTAGGTCCGCCAAGGACTTCCCTACATGCATGCTGCCAATAACAAGAGGGATAGTGAAACTCCCTGGGTCTTTTCGCTTCTCGGGCAGCTTGTTCTGCAGGATGGCAGAACACTCCTCACTCAGCATCACTGTCGAAAGATCCCCAAGTTTCTTCTTGTTGGTGAGGAGGTCCTTCATGAACTTGGCATACTTGGGCATCTTCGACAGTGCCTCCATGAACGGCATGCTGATGTTGACCTGCTTCAACATTGCCATGAACTTGGCAAACTCAGTCTCCAGCCTGTCTTTATGCAGGCGAGTGGGGAAAGGAAGCTGAGGTACATGCTCCTTAACCACTGGCTGTGGCTTGGGAGCAGGCGTTGTTGTGTCTTCCCCCACGTCTGCAGTATCAGCTAGAAATGTTGAAGCAGGTAGTGGATCATCTCGACTGGGCTAGGCAGGAGCAGCTGATGTGGTCTTGACACTCCTGGTAGTGATGGCATCAAGCTGCTGGAGCTGGTGAGGATCCCGAGGATTCGGGACAGTGGTGGCAGGCAAAGTCCCCGGTGCCCTGGTGGTGTTCTGGCGGGCCAAGATGCCCACCTGGGTCTGCAGATCCTGCAAAATGGCACCCTGGTTCCTCTGACCTGCCTCCAGTGAGGCTACACTCTGGTCCAACCTCGTGATAGTCGCCTGAGTGCTTGTCATGAATGAAGCTAGAATATTTTCCAGCTTCGTCATCTGAGTATCTGGAGCTGGAGCTGCTGCTGGCTCGGCAAACTGGCGCTGCTGGAAGGGTTGCCCTTGCCTAGGCTGGTAGGGCTGCTGCTGTGGAACTGGCGCTTGTCGAGGCTGGTAGGGCTGCTGCTGTGGAACCGGCCCCTGTCGAGCCTGGTAGGGCTGCCTCTGCTGAAAGCCACCTGCTGGTGCTGGCAAACCAGGTGGCTTAGTGGTGTTGCTGCCCCAAGAGAAGTTGGGATGCTGGCGCCACCCCTCATTATATGTGGTGCTGTACGGGTCGAGGCGCCGAGCATTGGCGATGAAGTCCAACTGCTCCTGGGGGGTAGTAGACTCCCTCATAGCCTGGCAGTCTTCCACTAAGTGATTCGAGCTCTCACACCACTGACATTGAGCAACTGGAGGTGTGGCCAAACCTCTGCCCGGAATAAGACTGTTGGGCTGCTTCAGTGTTTGCACTAGCTCAGCTACCTGCTGCTCGAGCCCGGATCTGGTCTCCATGGCGTGCACACCACGGTCCCTAGAATATCTGCCTCTGCTGCTCTGCCCCCAGGAATGATCCCTGGCAGCCAATGTATTAATCATCTGGGTCAGCTCGGGTGGGGTCTTAGTGAGAACATCCCATCCTGGGCATAGAGACTCAATCACCCTCTGGCTGTCTGGAGAGAGAGCACTGTAGAAATTCCCGATTGTGAATGCATCACTAAAGCCATGGTGGGGACACTGCCAGAAATATCCCATGTACCGCTCCCATGCATCACGAAGTGACTCATCTGGCTCCTGGCGGAAGTGAGTGATCTCCCGCTGAATCTCTGTAGTCTTCGATGCCGGATAGTACCTGTGCACGAATTTGTCAGCCAGATCGTCCCAAGAGGTGATGGACAATGGGGCTGGGTCTCCAACCACCTCTTAGCATTCCCCGCCAGAGAGTGGGGGAAAAGATGAAGGCGGATTGCATCATCCGGGACACCATTCAGCTTGAACCCGTTCGTCAGCTGCAGAAAACGGGAGAGATGTACCCTGGCCTCCTCATCCTTCAAGCCATGGAACTGGATGGAAGATGTAATGAGCTGAATCCAGCATGGCTTGATCTCGAAGTTGTTTGCTGGGATAGGCGGGTAGAGGATGACCGGGCGGATGTCAGGAATCCGCGGAGTGTAGTAGTACTCCAAGGTGGGACCTGGCTGCGGTGGATGATGAACTCCATGATCCTGGGGTATGGGGTTGTTCCCCAGGACCTGATTCACCGGGGGAGCCTGCTGAGGATTCCCCTGGTGTTGATTGTAGTCTTCCATCTCGTACTCCTCTTCAGAATCACTGCTCACGTGGCCGTCTATGCGCTCTTCTGTAGCCAGTCTAGCTCGCTGTTGTCTCCTGAGTTGGCGACAGGTGCGTTCAATCTCTGGATTCAATGGCAGTAGACCTCCCGACTGGCTACGGGTCATGCACTACCTGCACACAATCAAGCAAGCAAACCCGTGAAGGCACAAGTGGGAAAAAGCAAGAATGCGAAAAGAAAAGGCTAAATTAACTGAAATCACTTTTCTTCAACAACCTAGCCGTCCCCGGCAACGGCGCCAAAAACTTGACTCGACTCTACTGTCACTCCAGGAATTGGCCAAGTGAAACCACTCCCTAAAGCGTAGTATAGCGGGTTAGGTTTATATGTCAACCCGGGTCCTAGATTTGATGACTACTCGGTGAATTCTTGTTATCTAGCAATGAAACTGGAATGCAAGTCTAACTAACAAACTAACAAAGCAGGTAAACGGTTGTATTCAGGTTAAGAGAGGCCACCCGGATATGGTTCCCCCTAGACTGCAGTTAAGCCGGATTGTAATTACTAAGTTCAGTTTCTATGAAAGTTATACTGCGGAAGGTTCTTAAACAGCCTGAAGTCTCGACTAAAGGTCTTTAGACCCTCTCAATCTGAATCTCTAGCGGGCGACTAACCTCCACCGGAGTAGACAGATTGAGGCCCTAAGAACAAAACCTCCACTACCGGAGTAAATCCGGTACAGAATAGTGAGTTGGTTCCTCGACTAAAGTCACCAACTCCCTACCTTCAATCAAGGGTACTCTATTAACCTAGTCAGATATTCTCATTCTAGGTTAAAGCAGAAACAACAGGAATTTGATCAGGATTCAAGTCATTCAATCATTAAAACCTCAATCGAATATAATCAATCATAGAATCAGTACTTGGGTTCATACAATCAAAGCCTAACATACAAATCTAGGGTTCTCCATACCCAGATGAATGAGAGAACCACTCCATGGAGAAGAAAGCAAAAGCAGAATCAGACGCGGAATTCATACTGTGAAGGATGGATTCCTGCTCCTGGACGTTGATCGGCACTTCTCCAAGCTCAAACAAGCCTCCAATGGTGTTGAAGATCAAGCTAGGGCGCTTGGAGACTCTTGGTCGTCGCTTTCTCTCTCTAGGAACTGATCTCTCTCTCTAAAATTCGAATCCCTTGATTTTCAGCCCTCTTTTCCCTTAAAACAGCTGCCTGTCGCGATACCCGGTCGGGTATTTTGGGTCTCGACCGGGTATTATCAAAACGCACGTTTCATGCCAGGAGAAATCCCCGGTCGGGGATTTAAGCTTCACGACCGGGACCCCTTCTGTTTCTCAGACGCCAAAAAGGGAAATTCCCGGCCTCTTCAGAAAAATACCCGGCCGGGTATTTGTGGTCATGGCCGGGTATTTTCTTCCTCCAGCCCACTTCAATCCTCGTTTGCTCCTTTCGACCAGAATCTCGTTCCTTCGCCTCGATTCCAACGCCGGGTCCTGAAATATGACATAAACATACAACCTCGCGTGAAATCGGCTTAAAACCCGAGATTTAACCTTTCAAACGGCTCAAGAGTAGGGGTGAAAATACGTGTAATTATCGGTCTATCACACCTCATATAAACACAACACAACCCAACCCATCCAAACTATAAAAAAAAAATTAACCCACCCAGAAATCGAACAGCAATTGTTTGTGCTCTGTTTTCAGCTCAGCTCTGTTCATGTGTCTTCCGTCCAACAATGGCGGTCTTGTTCTTGATTCTGTAATTTTATTTGATTTGGGTTGAACCATTATTTGCTTTGGGTTTCGCTGCTGGCTGCTCGATTCTCAATGGGTTCGATCCTCCGGTTTCGGAAGCTGTCCTACTTGTCGCCGGTGAAATTGCATACCGAGAAGAAGGTTGAGCAGGAGAAAAAGGCTGTCGATGTTCCCAATCCTTGATTTTCTCTTGAACCCACGAAGAGGGTTCCGTCGCCTCCGATGAGAAGGTCCGGCGGGAAGGAGTGGAGGTGCATGGACAATTGCTGTTGGACGATTGGGTTTCTCTGTACGACTTGGTGGCTCTGTTTATTCCTCTTCAACTGTCTGCTGGCGACTCTGCCCGGATTCCAAGCACCCGAATCCCCCGGCATCCGGCTCAAGCGCGAAGGGATCACCGCACTTCATCCCGTCGTCATGGTCCCCGGCATCGTCACCGGCGGTCTCGAGCTGTGGGAAGGAAAGCCCTGCGCTGAGGATCTCTTCCGGAAGCGCCTCTGGTGCAGTGGCTTCACTGAAATCATCAGAAGGTCAAATTTTTACCGTCTTTCTTTAATTAGAACTCAAAATACTTGCTAAATTGGGTCAAAGAATCCATCTTTACCCCTTTTCCCTTGCTGGGTTCTCGATCCTTCTACATTTTGGTCAAAATTGGCACTGAAAGAATCAATTTTAAGTTTGACCCAGACTATTGTGTTGGTTGGAGCATCTGTCTTTGGATAATGAAACCGGACTAGACCCGCCTGGGATCCGAGTCCGACCTGTCCCGGGTCTGGTCGCCGCCGATTAATTTGGAGGGTTAATGGTTTTTTTAGGTTGGGTGGGTTGGGTTGGGTTGTGTTTATATGAGGTGTCATGTTTTTCTGACGTGGCGGGTCAATTTCTGGTTTTTCTTGGGATAAAATTGGGTGACTAGACATCTCTGTTAGCCACGTCAGCAGTTAACTGACGGCACTAATGGAGTCTGGCGGAGGTTAACGGAGAGTGACCGAACTTGGACTGTTCAACTAATATAAGTGACTACGAATGGAAAAAACGAATTCGAGTAACCAAAAGTGAAATTTGGTAGCAATTCGAGTGACCAAACTTGCTATTTAGCCCTTCAACCTCTTATGAGTGATTTTCGTTTCTTTACAGAAACTATATCATGACAAGTTAATGTAAAAGTTATTCTTTCCGTAGTCACGGGAACTATCGCCTCCTCCTCCGAACTCAGCCAACAAGGCCAACAACTGCCGATGTTCCCACTCGTAACCCCGATCATCCACCGCCGGCTCCTCTTTCGGCGGCAGAACCATCCGGTCTCTGCAAAGTGGGCACGAAGACACGCCATGACATGCTGCCGCCGTCAGCCATTTGTCGACGCAATCCCGGTGGAATAAATGCTTGCAATCCAGCCTCCGGACGCTTTCCCCTCTGGCAAACTCCGACAGGCACACCGCGCAGTCCGCCGATTTCGGGTTCTCATGCCCCGAGTAGGATGTCGCCGGGAACTTGGCATCGATTGATCCGTGCATGGTCTTGGGCGCGTCCAACCCGCAGGATATGGAACGGAGGATGAGCCGGAGTTTGATGAGAAGGAGACCGAAGAAGAAACGGGCGACGAAGTAAAGTTGGGAGAAGATGGTTCGGAGAAAAGAGGTCGCCATTATTATTTAAAATAATGAAACCAAAAGATGTGAAAATGGCGAATGAGTACTTCGATGATTCTGACATATATATAGGCTTTTACTATACATCTTTTTGTTATAGGAATTTTAGTTGACGGTTAGATTTAACAGTTGGCCTAAAGGCGATCAGTCTATAGTTGAGCACTGATTACGTGATGCTTATTTGTCGTTTATTTGTGGGTTATGTAGGAAATTACTATTTAACAACTTTAAATTACTTGTTAATAAATAAATATTAAATGTTTTCAAATAGTATATTTGTATTTTCCAATCAAATAAACTTGTTCTATTCACAATTTTATAGAAATAAAAATAAACTTGTTGGGTGGTGAGTTCACTTCAGTATGCTGGTTGCTTGAATATGTTAAAATAGCAATGGTTTGATGAATTTGTTTGCGGATTTCTTTTCTCCGGTTAGTGCTTTGTCTTATTCCCGGCCGGCGGCATATGATTAGGGACCAAGTTATGATAGTATATTACATTGTCGGGTCGTTTGCTCCAAGGTTTTGTTGATAGATTTAGTAATGGACTTGCATTTATCATGGACTTTGACAAAAGTCTATTGTTTGCTTGATGGAATTAGAGGGAGTAAATCCGTGGGGCCCACAGAGTTTGGAGGTCCAAATCCGTGGACCCCACGGACTTGGAAGTTTCACCTATGGAGGTGGGAATTGGGTGATGGATTTAAATCCATGATGGTATTTTACTAGTTTATCTCTACTTATTTTACCTAATGACTAATCTACCCTTTCTTCTTCCCCGGTGGTGGCCTCCAACTCTTTGTGAATTTTGTGATGAAATTTCGGATTAAGCGTGATGCTCGAGTTTGATCAAAAAATCGGGACATTTTCAATTGTGGTTGAATTTCACATCTTCGTCTACTGAGTCTTCTATTTACTCCTCTATTGATATTTCTAACACTTTATACTCATCTTGTGCATTATTGCTGGATCGACAGTTGGATCCAAAAATTAGGGAGTTGTGTCATGTTCAAACTATTATGCATTTCTATATTTGTAATTGAACAAGTTCACATAGTAGAAGTTCAGTTACTTTCTATGCATTAGATTTGTTTTTAAGGGAAATATAATTACATAAGGGTAACAATGTAATTTGTATTTCATATCCACAAATCTAACCAAATAAAATCCATTATCAAATCCAACAAGCAAACAATAGACTTGTTCAAATCCATGATGCCACCAAATCCATCATATATCCATGGTTTTTCAAAACCCAGGTTTTACCAAAACCCTCATATTTAAAATCCACGAAGCAAACGACCCGTGTACTTATCCGCTAGTACTCGTCTTATTATCCTAAAGAATCAAAGGGAAGAACATTTTCCTTGTGATGGTGATGGATACAGTTTATTTATTTTAGAGCTCGTTTGCTTGTTGAGAAATAAGGGGTTTGAGTTTTAAAAACTTTTGAATTTATGATGGATTTGTTGTATTGTGGATTTGGAAGAGTATATTGTTTGTTTGGTTATTTTTTATCATGGATTTATATTGATTTGTATCACAACTTTGCCTTCAATGATCAAATCCCAAATGAAATATGAGATTTCCAAATCGACGGGGTACACGAATTTGGATCTAAAAAAAGAGTACAAATCTGTGGACCCACGAATTTGTGTCCCTTAGCAAACAATGATGTTGTTCCAAATCCTTGATGCTTTGGATTTAGATGCCAAATCCATCGTCCAAATTCCATAAGCAAACGAAACCTTAATTTCATCAATAAGAAAACAATAATTGAATGAAGTTAGATGATTGATGCGCCTGTTTTTTGTTCAGACGGGCCGGTCATATGGTTGGAATAAATTTTATCAAGACGGCACATAGCCGGCCAAGTCGCAATCCAGAAAATAGTCCATGGAATTATAGTGGACTTCATTCTTA